CTAAAATAAAATATAAACCCAAAGAATAGAATAAAAAAGCCTAAACTTCTCACAACACATAATGATGAAATATAATCCTTACTCTCTCTTCTAAAAATATACCAATAAATGTATGACCTCAGATCTGTACAACACATGTGTGTCCGTACAATGTGTGTTCTGTACAATATTTGTGTTCCAATATACAATGTAGATGTTCTGTACAACACATGTTCTATACAATATATACAGTACATTCTTGATGTGACCAATGTAACCAGTTTTTACAACAATTAACATGTAGTGCTTTTTGCATGCCATGATAAAATTTAAAAAGAAAACATAAAGTAAAACTAAAAAGAATATGTAGAACTTGTTGCATGCTTGTTGAAATTTTAAAGAAAACATAAAAATAAAACTAAAAAAGAATTTGTACATAAAAGTGAGTAAAATTACTGTATCACCATTTCAAGACCCTGATTCTAATACCCTGTAGGAATTTACATGCACAATTCTGAGTATATACAATCAAGCTATCTTCATTCATACATTTCCAAAGCAAAGTTATAAAGATTACTAAAATTACATAGTTTACATTTCCCAACTATTTTTGTCTAAAATGTGAAATATCAAATATATTCAGGCTTCATTGAATTTTATCTTCCTTTTAAAAGTTTTAAAGAATAGTACAATAAACAATAAAATTGCCACTAAAAATCAGTAATTAGTTTTTGTATTTGTTGATATTCTAACATGAAGAATTCCTTGAATACCTTACATTTTTTCAAATTAGTATAGTACACATATATCATTAAAATTAATGATAGTTTCCAGAGAATTATTAATTACTACTTTAACTGCAAACTTCCAACGTGACAATCTGTTCCTGTCATGATTATCAATTTTGTTGTTTTAAATGAAAGTTATTTGATATTCAGATCTTCATTTATATTTCATTGCTTGCTTTTTACAAAAAAAAAAAAAAAAAATTAAATTCTTATGAAGGTTTGAGTAACATATCCCTCTTTTTCTTGCAATTAGAAAGAATTGGCCAATTTGAGTAGCCATTTTTTTCTCTGTCTGTGCAAAGTTTCACACTTACAAATATATAATTTAAAACATTTTTTAAGTAAAAAACCTTCTGTAGAATACTGACTGATATTAAGTACTTTCTAAAGAGGTATTCTTGATCACAAACACAGAAGGAACTTCAGATCATGACAGTACTCTGAATATTTTCCGCACGGCATCAGATCATAACAGTACTTTGATTTTCCTCTCCACCTTGGACCATCACAGTACATACAGTACTTTGATTTTTATTTCACAATTTATCCAGACCTTCTGTAAATGTTAGAATCTCTACTAAGTTCATGTTCATGTTTTTCTCCAGACATTGATAATAGAATTCTGCTGCCTTGCTTTTCATGGACGTTAGCTGTGCCAGAAGTTTACCATCAAATTGTGCAAAGGAGGGTACACAACTGTAAAACTAAAAATTAAAATATGGTTCATTTACAAAAATATCATGGTACATTTAATCTAGGTTTATTTGAGAAACAAAGTCTGTGTTTTCGTGAATGTTGCAGAATAACCTCTGAGGGCGAGAAATGTTGTTTGAAAAATAAAAGCCGAAGCTTTTATATTTCAAACAATATTTCGAGACCGAGGAGGCTATTCTGCAACATTAGCAACAACAAGGACTTTATTTCTAACCTACTTCGTGTGCTAGCAGCTCTAAGATATGACTGATCGTTTCTCTACAGAAAAACAAATTAGGTCACCATGCTGGGATGACGCTGTTACATTTAGCATTAGAGTGTAAATGTGTTTGTTTACCTGTGAATAGAATGAAGACGATTTGTGCTTTTGCTGCATTTGAATTAGCCTTTATTAATTATAAATCTGTTTAAAGCTTATCTAAATTAATCTGAATAAACAAAAACAAAATCAGTTTCCTATTTTACCACTTTATCACTAAAATCTCATAGAGAGGTTCGTGAAGCACCCCCATTTAGCTTTAGAAACCTATATCCATCAGCTTCTTTCTGCAATAAACGGTGTTTAAATTGCAAAAAAAAGACATATCAATGTGGTCTAAATACGTATTTCATGCTTACATGTAAGACAAATGTACATTTCAACTGCACAAGTTTGATACGTGCCTCTGATCTGATAATTTTTTGATGATGTTCGTGATTTATTGGAGAATAATGTCTGCGGCTTTTATTTGATCTCGACAATAATCGAAGTAGAATTCTCTATACCGTATAAGCGGGATTTTTTTGTGAGGATTTAATTTGGTATTATCAGCGAGGCTGTAGAAATGACTTAAATTGAATATCACTAAAGATAAATTGCATTTTATTTATATTTCTTTTTAGCGAGCATTTTAAAATCACTGAAAAAAACATCTAGCTAAAAAAAAATAAATTAAAAAAAAATAAGGACAAATCGCTAAATTTGCGTCCTCCTAAAATTTCCACTTATACGACACTTTTACTTTAAGCTGTATATATGATGCATTTAGTTAGGGATAACAAATAAACAAATACACATTTAATCTCCCTGGAATAGTTGAAGAAAAAATCTACACAATAAGTAAATTCCAATTATTAGATTACAGGTACATTTTGACTCTATGTTCTTTTTAGCGCATTTGGTGAAAAGCAACTTCCTCAAAATGATTTACACAAAAACAATTGAATTCATACATTAAGAACTTGTTTAATGATCAATTTCTACCAAATACTGAACACATACACAAAATACATAATACATTTACAGTCCAGTAAAAACCTTGCTGTATCAAAGCTGTTTAGACCCAGAGAAAAACTTTGACCTATAAGTGGTGTTCAAAAATCCAGTTGTATGTAATATTACTTACCCATCTAGTTTGAGAGAACAGAGCCAATTCGTCCTCGGTGTTCATCTGGTAAACCTTGGACGTGGTAGAACTCTGTCTGATCGGCTGACTGCCTTGTAACGACGAGGAAGACGAAACATGGGCATTTATCTTATCTGAAAATAACATAAAATGCTATTAGAGGGGATTTTCAAATTTTACAGATCTTTCATACTTAAAATGAAGCAATTTATTTTATATTTATTGTCCAAAGTTTAAAGTAAAAATCTCTTATAAAACGTTAGGTATAATCTCAAACATCGATTAAACCCATTTGTATCATATAAAGAAGTTGAGGTAATCTATAATCTATGAAATTTTACCTTATGTATGGCACGCCATATTCACAAAAATGAGATAAACCTAGTTTCACTATTGATAAACTAGGTTTATCGACTGTAAACCATAGTTAACAAACCGTAAGCTATAGTTAACGATTCGTTAAGTATAGTTTTCATTCGTAAAATTATATTTTACGGTTGTTAACTATAGTGTACGAATGATAATCTAAGTTTATCTATCTGTAATAAGCGTTAACAATAGATTTTGTTGATGTACATAGATTCACGTTTGTAAACTATAGTTTACAATCGTATAGTATAGTTAAGAGTTGTTAATCATAGTTTCACAAATCGTGAAACTATATTTATCAGATCGTTAACTATAGTTAACGGTTTATAAACTATAGTTTACAAATCGTGAAACTGTATTTATCAGATAATCTATGTTTTGCAATCGCAAATGATTGTTTGCAGTGTTAAGTATAGCTTACGGTTGTGAAACAACACGTTAACTATGGTTCACGGTTGAAAATATAGATTAACGTTGTTAACTAAAGTTAACAGTCCGTAAACTATAGTTTACAACCGATAAACCTTGTTTATCGACTGTGAAACTATGTTTAGCTAATTTTTGTGAATTTGGCGTGCCATATTTATGTTTCAAAAATTCCAACCATTTAATATCTATAAAAAGTTTTTGTACAGTGACACTTAACACGACTTGTAATTACCCATTGTGTCTTCTCTTGAAAATAACACTTCCTTTATATGCAGGCTGAAAATAAGTTTTCACTAACATAATTTTCTTTAAACTAAATTCCAACTAGAGGTACTGTGAGCAATGAGCCCACTAAATGATACCCCCGCCTCCCATATGAATATAATGGCAGTGTCCATGTTTTGCTCTGGAAAACCAAAAATATATGTCAGATCAAAAAGTAAAATAGGAGGTGCACAATGGCAATATGTTATTAGGAATCTGTGAAAGTTTCATTAAATTTCCCTCAGAGGTATGAGAGGAGTTGCGGATAAGAGATGGGTACCACAAAGCGTGACAGGCAGACGGACGGAAATACCGATTACTATATACCCTCCCACTTTTCAAGGGGGGGGGGTATAAATATATTTGATACAAGCTGTAGTCCTACATAAAATATATTGCTTTAAAAGTATGACTCGCCCAGTCTACAGTTTGAACTCTCTTTGTATTTCTCTGACATACAGATTAACACTAGAGCTGCATTCTCCTCTGCCTCAGTCATGGCACCCATACACTCCACATCGATCCACACCTCCACTACCTCTTTCTGAAAGAAACAAGTTGTACATGTGACTCAGTACTAAAACTGTAGTGCAATAATTGCTCGATTTCATTTGGGATCATTTTTCATTCAAGCGACCCTTACACTATAGTTCACCAAGCATTTAAATTTCATAGATTATTGAAGCAGGTGCATTATCAGTTTACCTTGAAGTGCTTAAAGGAGAGCACACAGAAGAACAAGCAATCACAGCCAGGGCGATATGGAATTTATCGTTCGACAAGCAGGTGTGTCAACAAATCGTGGAGTATCCAGAAATGATAGAGACAGTCAGAATAAAATTATCGCGAAAAAACTTCAGTGGAGCATTGTTTGAATGATGTATCAAAACGTAAGTGGATTTAGAAGTTTGAGGAGTGTATATCATTTTCAGTTATTTCATTAAAGTGAGTGTAATTGGTTAGAAAATGACTTTTGGACTATTAAACACTTAGTCAGGATGTCATAATTTCTGCCTATACATGTATACCTAAAATATGTGCTCATATAAATGTACTGGGTAAAATAGTAATATTTTGTAGAGCAGGATAGAAACCCCATATTATTCAGTGAATTCTTTGATAGGCAATATAGACAGATCATTCACAAATCATTGGGGTATACGCTGTGAACGACTACATGTGTTCATTTACAAATTCATTTTTTTTGGTTTGTAGGGTCAAAGTCTGCCAAGAAAAATAAAGGCCATGTCTTCATCAGTTTCTCCTGAAATGAGAAAGAAATTGTGATTAAGATCAGGAAGAGATCAAAAGTAAGTTGGATTTTATTTCCAAAATATCCCCAATAATTATATAGTTAGGATATCTGGCGTCCAGATATCTAAAGGCCTACTGTACAATATATCTATCTAGCAAAAAATATTGTTGTGAAAATTTGCTAAATCTTAGTAGTTTATGTTAATAAAAAATAGACATGCTAGAGGCATATCAAGTCTATTTTCATTCATATAACTTGCAATATTAATCCACTTTTCTCAATCAAAACAAAAATTAAAGTTGAATCTGTAAAAACACATTTCAATAAATAAAGTAACATATTTTTATATTTAAGGCCAAATATAAAAAGTTCTTGGCGACAAATCAATTTACTAAGAGCAAGATGAAAGTTTTGGGTTGGCACATGGATATAATTTTTCCATTCTTATTCTTTTCTTCAAATTTCAAGAATAATAAACAGGTGTTTTTCTGATACATTTGTATAACACATCTTATCCTTTTTCCATATAATCCAGCCCATGAAGAAAGGGAAGGTAGAGATGAGAATCATCAATCTTACAATCAGAACAACAATACTTATCATAAAATGGACAATCAAAATAAGAGTTTTGCGTTACAATTATAGAGAAAGTCCTCCATGTTGGACGTTCAAATCATTTACTACTTGTTTATAAGAAAAAGGTTTTAAAACAAAGAAGTCCATTTTCATTTTAAACGTTAAGTCTATTACAATTGTTCCTTTTTGAATAACCGATCGATAATCTCTCCGTACAATCTTTCAAAAGTAGGTGTTTTCAATTTGGTTTTACCCATCGAGAATTTATTTTTAGCATTATCATTACATGTTCATTATCTGAACAGAAATGAGGTCTCGCCTTATAAGGTCTAAAATATTCTGACTTCAACGGTAAGTTTGTAAATCATTTATTTTAGTTTTATTAGAATAGTATTCAAAGAAATGTTTAACAACCAAATAAACTTGATCAATTTCGATTTCATGCATTAAGGACAGATGATACAAACTTTCAATAAAAAAAACGAATATAGACAAATCACATTCAGTAAAGGTTTACAGATGAAAATAAATTTCAGAATATGTTATCCTGGCGCTAAAAGTGTAATATAAACCTTAGCAAAATATACCAAGCCAGGTGAATTTTAAGAGGAAGATCGAACTGACAAAAAATTTGCAAAATCACATAGGCTGGTTTTTACCATTTAGCTTTTGCTAACCTGGCTCGGTATAGTTTTTCTTAAGTTTATATTACACTTTAAGGGCCAAGAAAACATATTCTGAAATTTATTTTCACCTGTAAACCTTGAATGTGATTTGTCTATATTTTCTTATCATTGAAATATTACTAATATTTTCCGAGTGTTTTAAGCTCACCTGAGCCGAAGGCTCAAGTGAGCTTTTCTTATCACAATTTGTCCGTCGTCCGTCTGTCCGTTCGTCCGTCAGTCTGTCCGTCTGTAAACTTTTCACAATTTGACTTCTTCTCAAGAACCAATGGGCCAATTTTAACCAAACTTGGTACAAAGCATCCATGGGTGAAGGGGAGTTTAAAATGTGAAAATGAAGGGCCAGGTCCCCTTGCAAGGCGAGATAATCAAGACAAGAGGCCCATGGGCCACATCGCTCACCTGAGTAACTTGGGTGATGCACTTATGTACCAGATTCCCCCTCTTGCTATATCTATCATGCCCCAAATACCCCCTTCCCTTTGATGATTTTAAAACTTTAGAATAAACACAACGCCAGGATGCTTCCACATAAGTTTCAGCTCTCCTGGCCCAGTGGTTCTTGAGAAGAAGATTTTTAATGATCTGTTCTATTTATTTCTATGTAAAACTTGGATTCCCTATTGTGTCCCCACCCTAAGCCGGGGGGTCACGATTTTAACAATTTAATATCTACACTACCCAAGGATGCTTCCACATAAGTTTCAGCTTTCCAGGCCCAGTGATTCTTGAGAAGATTTTTAAAGATTTGTTCTATATATTTCTTTGTAAAACTTGAATTCCCTATTGTTGCCCCACCCTACCCTGGGGGGTAATAATTTTAAGAATTTAATATCTACACTACCCAAGGATGCTTCCGCATAAGTTTCAGCTTTCCTGGTTCAGTGGTTCTTGAGAAGAAGATTTTTAAAGATTTGTTCTACATATTTCTATGTAAAACTTGGATTCCCTATTGTGGCCCTGTCCTCCCCCCGGGGTCATGATTTTAGCAATTTAATTGCCATGCATGGTCACCGATTTTGATGAAACTTCACCCATGCTTAGTACTTGACACCAGAAACAAATATCAAACAAAATTTCGTTGCTAAATGTCTCGGTTGCTATGGCAACAGCCGGAAAAGTTTGAAAAATCGATATTTTCAGCCACTTTAAATCCTGACTTAGGCTTAATAAAAACTAGAAAAAGCAAACAAACCATTCAGACAAAAACATGACACCTTGATGTCACTTATACTGTAAAGAAACTCTAAGTATATAAGTATAAGCAATATTATTCTATAAATAAATTTTATGGTTGCCATGGTAACACAGTGTAACTATGCAAAACCAGTAACTAAGATTGGGTTAGTGCTACTGTCTTGAGGAAAAAACATGAAAATTCAAGACTGCCAAATATGCATCCTAAGTACCTTGCAAAACCAGAATTAAAAGAAAAATTGGGTAAAATTGCTGCTTTTCAGTGTTACCATGGAAACAATGTACCAGTGCTTAAAAATGAATTATAATTCACTGCATTAAGAATTAAATTGCCATATAATCAAGAAACAAATTAAAGGACTCAGCTTGAATAGCACTTTTTTAAAATTGTTAAAATCATGACTCCCGGGGGTAGGGCGGGGCCACAATAGGGAATCTAAGTTTTACATAGAAATACATAGAACAAATATTTAAAAATCTTTTTCTAAAGAACCACTGAGCCAGGAAAGCTGAAACTTATGTGAAAGCATCCTTGGATAGTGTAGATATTTTTAAATTGTTAAAATCATGACCCCCGGGGGTAGGGAGGGGCCACAATAGGGAATCCAAGTTTTACATAGAAATATATAGAACAAATCTTTAAGAATCTTCTTCTCAAGAACCACTGGGCCTGGAAAGCTGAAACTTATGTCGAAGCATCCTTGGGTAGTGTAGATTCTAAAGTATTAAAATCATAAAAGGAAAAAGGGTAGTGGGGTACGTCTACGATAGGTATAGCAAGAATGGAAATCTGGTAAAGAACTGCATTACCCAAGTTACTCAGGTGAGCGATGTGGCCCAGGGGCCTCTTGTCATATTCCAGTTCTTTTGAGAAAGAATTCTAAGAAAGATTCAATTTTCGAAACTTGTGACATGATATTTAATCTTTTTCAAATAAAAAAAATTGTTTGTATCATCTGTCCTTAGAATGTTTCTTATAAAAAGATTTTTTTAAAAATAATTTATGAACCAGCTTAGACGAGTTTTGCCACAATCGTTTTATTTGTTCAGTCTTTCTTCTTTAAAGTACATTGTACTGAGAACGAAGATAACAATTATGCCTTTAAACATATATTGACAGTGTTTCCCTCAGTGAATTAATGAAGTATAAAGATTAATCAAAAGATAATCATAGAACATAAAAAATGAATCTGCACCCTTGCCTTTTAGGCTGTGTTTATTTCACGTGACATTTAAATGGTTCCATCATGGCTACCGTTATCAGTCAGTACAGCTCAACAGAAGAGACAACAAATGCCAACAGGGCTTGTCGTCTTCTACTTGGACCATGTACCGATCAACTGAGAGATGTTTTTCGCAAAAAGGTTCCACCTTCTACATTTGCCCTGGAAATTAGTAAACAAAAGTATAATCTACCAAGATTAAATCCCGAACAAAGGAACCTAGTTTTACCAAACATAGGGTCCTATTCTGGAAATTATGATGACTTTGACATTTCACTGCTCTATATTCTTCTGCGGAACATTTGTAACATTACTCCACATACAAATGGGTGGGGAAATGTCCCAGATGTTAATGATGTATGTCTTTCTGCAAATATCGAAAGAATACGAGTTGCCCGAAACAACACTGTTCACTCTGCACGACCCTCCCTCACAAACAGTGAATTTAACGATATTTGGACGTCAGTTCGAGTTGCAGTAGTAGAAATCGATACATTCCTTTCAAATGGAAATTTTTATGAGAAGGAAGTTGACATTTTGAGACACACAACATTGGACCCTGTCCAAGACCAGCATTTCAGAGACCAACTGGACAACCAATATGCTGAGGATCAACAAACTAAAGAATGCATTCGCACACTTCAGGGTATGTTTTTTTAACAAAAATCAAATTAATTGAAATAATATGCAAAGATAAATTTAAAATATACGTTTAACATTAAAAGAGCTGCATGTATGATTCATAGAAATCAAATAAAGAGAAATATGATTCTATCTACAGTATCTTATTCGCATCAACCATTAATCACTTCTATGTTGTTGATTGAAAAGAAAAAGATTTTTTTCCAGATCACATTTTTTCTTTTTCTTTTTTTTTTCTTGGTTCTACAATTTTATTTTTCTTAGAAATAACAATGTGTCGATTGTTTTGTAAGAAGTACTATTTGTCTAATTTTCAAATTGTCCTCTTGTTGATGTACAAATGCACACCCGAATTACAACTAAAAGATAATTAGAGCTACATGTATTTCATTTTTAGAAAACTTTGAAAGTAATCTGAAAGAAACAGCGGACAGGATCAATCTCCTTGAGGGTTAGTTGTAAATTTTTTTTTTTCCAAATGTTTGTCCGCTTTTAGATACACAAATGTACTCCTGAATTACCACTAAATGATTACTAGAGCTATACATGTATTTTATTTTTAGAAAACATTGGAAGTAATCTGAGAGAAAAAGCAGACAGGATATGTCTCCTCGAGGGTAAGTTGTACATCTTTTTGAATGTTATTTTAAAGGTATAAAAGGATTGTTTGCTAAATGAAGAAAATCTTCAAAAAGATTTCACAGATAATGTGAATACCTTGAATGCTGACAAGGTAAAAAAGAAATAAAATTGAAGAGTCTAAGCATACATTCAAATAAAACATAACATAAATGTATAATTTTCTATTGGCTGCTTCATAACTGAAGGAAAATGTTGCTTCAAGTTAACTTTTTATTCAAGCAAACACTTTTCGTAATAAAATGTATGTTTGAATAAGTTTTAACTGGATGCTTTACATTTTCATTCAAGGTTGCTCAATAATGCACCATAAAAGGAATATTAGGCATAGTTTTATGGTCTTTCCGCTACTTTGATTGTTACTTACATACTTACATAAAGAAGGAATATTTTTTTGAAATACGTACCTGCCAAGGAATTTGTTTCTTGTAAAATTATTTTATCAAGACGATTTAGCCTAAATTTGAAGAGGATATTGTTTTAAATTTAGAAGCCTGTCTATTGTTCTCGTTGTGTGTACAATGTGCTTAATAAAATGTTATGATATCGACCAGTTATTATGATCAAAGGTTCAATAAAAGCAATTGAAATTGTGAGCAGAGAAATTCAAACTTCTGAGAGTATCGCAATCATCGTGTTTACAATGTATATTCATATTCTCTTTTCTTTTCATGCATTCTAGCATCCGCTCAAAGCAATGAAGAAAATGTATTGTATTCTTTATAGCTAAGCAAAAGCAAAACATGAGCTTGAAAACTTAACATGCAATTATTTGCGAGATTGCCCGGTCTTCAGCAAGGCTCATAGATAAAGATGATTATTGTTATGTAATTCGTGTTGATTACTAAAAACTAAAATTATATAATGTTACTTTTTTTTCTTTTCTGCAGAGACTCAAACAACATTAGAGACCAGATTACACATATCTTCCCAACTACAGAAGCAATTTCAAAATGTTTTAAAAGAAAATTTACAGAGGCACAAATCAACTTGCATACCGGAAAACGTCAGAGGTAATTTATTTCTTAAACGGGTTAGTTTGCATAAGAGTTTCATGGGCAACATCGCTCTATCAATATAACTCAGCATTAGTTTTGTTTTACACACCTGAGCCGAAGGCTCAAGGGATCTTTTCTGATTAAAATTTGTCCATGGTTTTTCGTCGTTGGCGTTGCAATCGTTGTCGTCGCAGGAAACTTTCACAATTTAATCTTCTCCAGGACTACTGGGCCAGTTTTCAACCAAATATTACATAGAGTATACTTGGGTAAAGCGGATTCAATTTTTTAATGACGGACCAAACCCTACTCCAAGGAAAGATATTTATGAAAAGCGAAAAATGGCATCATTGAAAAAACTCCTTTTAAGAACCAATAGACCAGGAAAGATGAAACTCATGTTGAATCATTGACAAGAAGAGTGGACTCAAGTTTGTTCAGATCATTACTTACAGGGGCTATTAGGATGGGTCCACAATTGACGATCAAAGTTTAACTTTGGAATATATAGGAAAAATCTTCAAAAATCTTCTTATCAAGAACAGCAAAATTGGACGTATTTAAATGAAAGCATTCTCATGTGGTGTAGAATCAACTTTGTTCAAATCATGACCCCCAGGAGTAAGTTGAAGCCACAATGAAAGTTTAAACTTGCAGGGGACAATGTCACAGCATCCCTGTTTAGTTTGATTTTGAACAGAATTTTTTCCAAGTATTTACTTGCCCTAAGTTGTTCAGAGTTAGAGTCGCATGGATGAGGCACCAAATATGTTTATTTGTAACTGTTTGGACTCAGATGGTGAATAATCATTAACATCTTCATATGAATGACCATGTTAATGTTTTGGTGCAGATTGATATGATAACTTATCTTTCATGGATGTTTCATCTAAGAATGGAAGCTTCCAAACTTCATTCAAATGTTGGAACTGACCTTACGATTCCGGAAAATTGAGCAAAGTTAAAATGTTTAAAGTTTATTTGGTTAAAATTGCAGACCAAACTCGCATTAATGATGCATCGGTTCAACTAGGGTATACGGATAAGTAGTTCCATAAAACCGATTAACATCTTTTAAATTTAAAATTTGATAAGAAATAGTTCCTTTTATAGTAGATAGTGGGAATATTTTGCCTTATTACTTCAAATAAATCCTTTTAAAAATAGTCCATAAGAAGTCCCCTTTACAAAAAATGTCTGACAATTCCATATTAAACCTACATTGACATCAAAAGTGTCGACAGATCGACAGTTGATACCTCTTACTAATCAACAGTGTCACCACAAAGGTCGACAGTTGACACCTCTTATTGGTAAACCTACGATGTCATCACAAAAGTCGACAGGTTGACAGTTGACACCTCTATTAATTCTCAAACCCATCTGAGATATTAGAGTTAGTTTTCAAATCACCTTGAAAAATAAGGGTGAGTATTAATTTCATACCAGACTGAGAGATTAGCTTTAGTACTCAAACCCCCTGAGAGATCAGGGTTAGTTCCCAAACCCAATTAAGAGATTAGGGTAGTTCTCGAATCCACCTGAGAGATTAGGGTTAGTTTTCGAATCCACCTTAGAGACTAGGGTTAGTTCAAGAACTCACCCGAGAGATTGGGGTTAGTTCCAGAACCCACTTGAGAGATTAAGGTTAGTTCTCCAATCCATCTGAGAAATTAGGGTTGGTTCTCGAATCTACCCGAGAGATTAGGGTAAGTTTCAGAACCCACCTGAGAGATTAGGGTTAGTTTTAAAACCCACCTGAGTGATTAGGGTTAGTTATTGAGGATGATTTGATAAGGGCTATTCCTCTATCCCACTCTGGGATCAACCCGTCGACCTCTCTACCCGTCCACCCGTCGACCTGTTTACCCGTCCACCAGTCGACTTGTCAACTCGTCGACCTGTCAACCCATCGACCCGTCTACCCGTCCTCCCGTTGACCTGTCTACCCGTTAACTAGTCTACCAGTCGACTTCTCAACCCGTCGACCTGTCAACCTGTTTTCCTGTCCACCAGTCTACCTG